TCTAATTGGGAGTTTTAAAGGCTACCGTACCCACTTATTTGTTAAAGATGAAGGGCCCTATCTGTTTTTCATCTTCATCAATACGCCCAACTCACTGTAAAAAAAATAGGTTCCACAAAATTCCTTCATGTTGTCCCAACACAGATTAAGTTAACTTAATTATTTTTACAAACTTAAGTAGATTGAACCTAAAACAATAAATTTGTCCCAAAAAACTCAAGAATTCTGTTAATAAAGCTCTTTTTAAATGAGTTGTTTGAACAAGCAGCAAAAAATATTTTTGAAAGCAGTTTTAAACATTTTTGAATACATCTTTTAAAAATATGATCTACCTACAGTACATCAATTACTCATTACTCATCAATTAGTAAGCATATTTCAGCTGTTCAGTCACATGACAATAAAACCCAACAAACTATAAACCTATCAATCTGTCTGTCATCTTCATCAATATGACCAACTACACTGTTTTTACACATTTATGTGGATAGAACTAAAAACAATTAGTCCCTTTATTAATTCAGTTCCGCCACAGCGGAATGAACTGCCAACTTATCCAGCAAGTTATTACACAGCGGATGTGAAAATTTGAAAAATTGTGTTGATCCAGCTCGTTTTAAATGAGTAGTTTGAACAAGTAGCAAAAATAATTTTTGAAAGCAGTTTTAAACATTTTTGATTACATCTTTTAAAAATATGACCTACCTACATCTACTTCTAAATACATTTAATAGATATCCATCAACAAGTAAACATATTTCTATACATTCACATAACAATAAAACCCAACCAACTATAAACCTATATCTATCAATCTTTCTGTCATCAATATGACCAACTCACAGTAAAAATGGTGGGTTCCACACAATTCCTTCTCGTTGTCCCAACACAAATCAGTTGTTAACTTAATTGTTTTTACAAATGTAAGTGGCTTGAACATAAAACAATTGAGCTGTCCCAAAACAAATCTCGAAAACTATGTTGACTCATGTTAAATAAGTAGCTTGAACAAGCAGCAAGTCATATTTGAGAGTAATTCCAAACATTTTTGAAAACATCTTTTCACTATGACCTACCACAACAATAAATACATTTAATACCTATATTTATCCATCAATTAGTTCATAAACATACAATAATAAAGAAAAGCTACACTCAAATGGATGATACACATAATATACTATTAAGCATAATAAAATAAAATAAAAATCTATACAAAAGAATTGATATATCATGTCTAACAAACAGGTAACTAAAATGTCTAGCCATAGTTCTTCAATCATTGATTCTTAAAGTTTTTCATCTGCTCATCATAATGTACAGTACATTAAATTGCTCCAAACAGACAGCATAGAGACACATGAGGGCATAAGATCTTACCTTTGTGCTAACGATACATAAACAGTCCATTCTTCAGAGCGCGACCTCTCAGCATCTCATCCAAGCTGCTCTAATCCTGTCGCTAAAATGTGCCAATGCATATGCATGAATGCATTGACTGCGCGACATGAACTTATTCTCAGTTGAGCAAACAGCGTACGCTTCCATATACTCAGAGAAGTCCACATCACCTCATGGCTGCTTACAGCGGCAGTGTGTCGGGGATGCTGAGGAGGAGGACGCCTGCACTCATATTGACGCGCGTTGAGAGTTGATAGGAGCACCATGGGGAGAGCGAGCTGCATAATGTGCTCCTCTCACCTCTGGACGCGAGCGCTCCAAGTGCACGTCAGTGTGTGGGAAAGCGCGTGCGTTCAAACGCCTCTGCCCTGCCGGTTCAGTATCAGCCAGTGGACTTTACGTTTGTTATGAAATCTAAAAATCATTAAATGTTTAACAAATGTTCAACACCATGCACACACACAGATATCATGATAAATGTGATGTAAAAAACAGAAATTGATTTCTGCTACTAATCAATTTTGTTACTAATTGTGTTATTCTGGAATGTAAATTAATATGAATACATTTTCGATTAAGCCTTAAATGAACTTTTACAGAAAGTTAAAAAATAAATGCCATAAAATATATACTATTTTGTAGCAGAGACATAGAGCTCCATAAAAAAAGAGATTATTTTAAGGTTTTGTTGGTGATATGCCATTCATTGGTACATGTAAAATGTTACATTTTAATAAGTGACTGATAAAAACAGAAACAGTTTGCTTTCCAATGATCTTTCAGTTGTGCTTTGTGTTGTTCAGCAGACAAAAGTAATTCAAACAGGTTAGGACAACTTGAGGGGAAGCAAATAATGACTGAAGTTGAACTTCTAAAAATTACAATTTATAATAAAAGTATTCAATTAAGAAAACCTTAAAAATGTACTATAATTGCTGTTGTAATTACCAATAGATGTTACATATTCTGAATTTTAGTGTGTGCGTTTGTGTTTGATAAAGAAACAAATGTGCGCAATGACACTGGTATTACATATGTATTACAAATGTAGACAAATTAAACTGTTTTTAAAGTTCACAATTGGTCACATTTTCATTAAAGGTTATGTTTAGTGGAAGGGGTAATGTGAGGGAATATAATATAAAAGTCAGCAAAGTCACAAAAATCACCAAAATAAAATGCACAAGTGTGCGTTCCTGTCCTGGCCACCATGTATTAAGTAATAAAGAGCATCTATTTTACCCCTTTTTCAAGATTTAAGATAAGTCTTTTGTGTCTCCAGAATGTGTCTGTAAAGTTTCAGCTAAAACATCCGTCAAATTATATTTTATACCTTTTGGAATATTGAATTTTCTGCTCTACACACAGCTGTTTTTGTTGCCTGTGCCTTTAATACTAGTTGTACCCACCCACCATTCCAACATGCCTGTGTGCCAACATGCCTGAGTGTGCCTCAATCTCCCCTCGGTTGCGTCAGATAAACAGCACAGTGACAGACATGAAGAAAGCAGATCTCATGTAACGTTTGTGAGAAGTACTGCAGTAAGAACTTTCCCAATGATTATTTAATGTATTTGTTGAAGAGTTGCAACGTTTAGTCAAACGCAATGTTGTTACAAAGTTCACGCAAACACGCAGACACACACACACAGCGCACGTGTAACTTTGCACTGTTTTTGCATGGCAAATGTGACAAAATACAGGTTAATATCCACTGCTTTATTGATATCCGTTATGTTAATATACAAAATAAACCTGATTTAACGACTATAAAACGGAATTGAAGCGTCTTCTTTTATAATTGTACTGACATGCGGCTGTGTCAGTAAAGACGGTAAAAAAATAAAATAAAATAAAAATTTGCTGCAACTCATTAATATTCACTATTTTAAAAATGTTTTAAACTTGTAAAACTCATTAATCACATTTGATGATTATTGATGATCACAGAAAACTGAACAGATCTTTTAATAAAAGTTGCATTTCGCACATCCTGTCATGTTGATATGATTATACGAGTTACTATGGAGACATGTTAATACGCGACTTTGCCAATATTTACAGACCATTTTAGCAATGCTTAAAGCAGCCATTTTTTTATTTAATTTAATCCAACAAATGTTCCCACAAATTTGCCTTTAAAACAAAGTAACAAACACAGAGTAACTGATTTAAAATAATATTTTCATAATGTTTGACGGGAGTATTAATATGTATTTTTAGATGAATAGCACGTTAAAATCAACCAACATACCATATTCCCAATCCTAAGGTATTTATTAAGAGAAGACTCAATTGCAATTTCTTAAAAGTTCTGAAGGAAATACTAAAACACCACAAATACCAAATACCAGTGGAGATGTGAAATTCATCTCGATTCAAACACCACTGAATTACTTGAGAATTTAAAATGGTAGAAATGACAGTGTTGTGCACTGTTAAATTGTTTTCTCTCCTCAGTGTGGCGGATTACATTCGGTCCCAACAGAAGGAAAATCTACCCACTCTCTAGAATGCGAGCAACCGTTTAAATGAAAAATGCATGACCAGACTTTATTCAATTTAAATGAGAAATTAGGATTATTAAATAACAAGGTAAGTCCAAAATATCTGCTCTCCTGTCATTCCGTTCAAAAAGTCACAGACTGAGCACCCTGCTCTTTATTTAGAGATCTTCTCATTCTCCATTCCCTTTTAAGCACAAGTCTAACAAGTACTAGATGTTCTAGTATGTTCAACAGAGATGAATCATAACTCTGACTCTTGAACATCTCATTAAGACAAAACAGTGACACTGACTGATTTTCTATAGCACCACTATAACAACCCCAACTTAATGGATAGTTCATTAAAAGTATATGAATAAATAATTACAACAGTTAATTTACTCAGAGATTTCGATTACTTATATTCATTCATTAATTCATTTTCTTTGCAGCTTAGTGCCTTTATTAATCCGGGGTCGCCACAGCAGAATGAACCGCCAACTTATCCAGCACATCTTTTACACAGCAGATGCCCTTCCAGCTGCAACCCATCTCTTGGAAACATCCATACACACTCATACACTATGGACAATCTAGCCTACCCAATCCACCTATACCGCATGTCTTTGGACTGTGGGAGAAAACGGAGCACCAGGAGGAAACCCACGCGAACGCAGGGAGAACAAGCAAACTCCAACTGACCCAGCCGAGGCTCAAACCAGCAATCTTCTTGCTGTGAGGCGACAGCACTACCAACTGCGCCACTGCGTCACCCATAATAATAATAATAAAAATACTAAATACATATCAGACATTGCTAGTTATCTTAAGCTGTTATTGAAAATTGTCACAGAAACCCAAATAAGCATCAACCAATGTGTTTCTAGAAGCAAAACATTTTTGTGGTTTTGTTTGGGAATGAATCAGCATTTCTGATCGAATCATTGAACGAATACCAAATGCTTACACAAAAAAATGAGAGGTCATATTTTCGTGAGTCAGCATCGCAAACTTCAGCCTTTATTCTACAGTCAATAGCAACAACAACAACATCATCATCATCATGTTAATGTACCGCAGACAGCAAAGAAGCGATTTTGAGAGTGTGCTTACCTCTTCTGTTTGAGGAAGATTGATGGGCACCGGTTCTGTTGGTCCAGTAGTGCTGGGAGGGACACTGAGATTCCATTCATTAACAGGAGGAAATGACTCTCTGCTTTTAAGGCTTGAATCCTCTATGGGTTTATCCTCAGTATCCTGAAGGCTCACTTCATAATATTCCTGGATGTCTGAAAGAATTATCAGGTCGCATGAGATTTATTTGAAAATGCAAATTACACTCATCTTCTTTACATTACTAGCAATCAAAATTGGCCGTGCTGCACATAATGTCCCTTCACACACACATAGCAGGTGACATGCTATAAAACACTAAGGGTTTCTGTGTGCAGTAGAGTAAGACTCTGTTTAAGTTTATGTTTTCACAAAATAACTTTATTTTTGGTTTTCAAAGGCACTTGAGTCATTATAGCCAATAATTAATTAAAACACCCCGATAGACAATAATAACACCCTGAAACAGAAATACTCCTTATGACAAATACTCTAAGTATGTAAAAAAAAAATTGTGAGAGGGGGATTCAGGTAAATATAAATTTATGCAAGATCAAATTGTGGTACATCACTAGTCCTAAAATAGTCAAGTTATTATATTAGTGGTAGAATAAAAAGATGCTATAAATTACAAAAGGAAAAGTCATGTTGCTTTAACCATTTTACAACTGCAATAAACTCATTACAGGATCAAAAACAACGTATTTCTAAAAATAATAATAATAATAAATAAAATTACAGTCACACTATTATTCCTCATGTTATTCCTTGTGATGCTGTATAAAAAATTGTGATGGTAAGCAAAGTATGCTAAGATAGATGCATATTTCACACTATTATATAAATATATAAATACTACTTTACATTAATAGTCTTATCAAAATTACTGCATGGAATTTCAGCTAATCTCATTAAACAGACACTTTACAAATAATTGTTTGTTTATGTTTCTCTTGTACTTGGTTTAGTTTATGGCTTTTATTCTTTAACAGACTTTTTAAAAATCCCAATGTGAACAATGTATTATTTCAGAACCAGCACTGCTGAAAAAGTTGGCATCCCCTAAAGGAGAGATCCCTCCGTATTAACACTAGGGCAGGCAGTAGAAAACAAATATACAAAACATTCCAAGTTATTTTTCACATCTATTTCTAGACGTTTCTTTCTTTTTTAAACAGCAAAATGCTTATAACAAATAATTTCCTCTTCCATTTTATCTTAATTACTTAAACTTTCAAATGAGCCAGCTTAAAAGTGAAATTCAAAGGATATTCCCAAGCTGACAAAATCTAAAGAAAAAAAATACTTTGAATGACCGAGCACAAAAAATGTAGGCCTATTCTACATACTTTAAACTGCATTCCCACATTCCCAGCAAATACAAGCCAAGACACCTTTCTTAAATTGATTTCCTTTTCTAATCTAAGCTTTGCAAATACTGCATACGTTTTTATTGACATTTAATTGTCAAATAGTTGTGTATTTGAAAATACAATAAAACTAATAACATTGTGAAATAATATTCAATGTCAAATAACAGTTCCATGTAAATATGTATTAAAAATAGTGTTAAAAAAATTTGTTTTATATATGCATGCATGTCTGTTTTATATATGCAAAATAAATATATACAAGGTACACACTAACCTTTCAGAACAAACTTTTATTTTGGATGTGATTAATTACAATTCATTTTTGCCCAGCACTAATTAAAATATAAATTATTCTTGTGCTTAAAAGCTGAATTCTCAGCATCATCCTCAGTGTCACATGATCCCTCACAAATCATTCCATATGCTAATTTGCTGCAAACATGACCTGAAAATATTATAAATTCTGCTCTTTTGATCAATTTGATAGGTGTTTTATTAACTAAGCCTATTTGTAAAAAATATTATATTATTTTACGCTGGTTTGTATTTATATATGTAAAATAAATATACACAGTACACCCAATTAACTATGTCAAAACAAACTTTAATTTTGGATGCAAATAAGCACACATCACAAATTTTAATCAATTATTAAAATATAAACAATCCTTGTGTTAAAGCTGAATTTTCAGGATCATCCTCAGTGTCACGTGATCCTTCATAAAATGATATGCTAATGTGCTAATTGCTACAAATATGACCTGAAAACATAATAAACTTCTGCACTTTTGATTAATTTGATAGGTATTTGATTATTTTAAAAAAAAATGCTTGCAATGAAAAGAAAATGCATATGTAGGTAATGGAAATATGGACGCCATAATTTAAAAATGCAATGAGTAACATTTTACTGATTTATAAAATTCTGACTTTTCAAAACTGTCTATATAAAAGTAGTCTGTAATTTGTACAGAAAATCATCCAGCTTTAACATAATGTTTGCCTACAACACTAATAAAGTTAGAAAAGAAAAACACTGCTGTAATACCACTGAACTTGTCAAGCACAAAACAAAACAGTGAAGTAAAACCTGTTCCACCATTTCAAGCCGAACAAAAGAAATGCAAAGAAACCTCAAGGAAAACACTGGCAGTGTAACTTACCTACAAGAGCCTGGAAAAGTGTACTCTTAAATATGTTTATGACCCTCTCGATTGACAGTCTGAGATGAGGATCTCCAGTCTGACTGAGTTTAGTTTGGTATTCCTCCAAAAGCTGCAGTGCCCGCTGAGCATCTGAAAATATCATTATAAAGACTGCTGAGAAACATGTGCATAACAAATAATACAAATAGGCTATTAAAGTAGACTATATATTTAGAAAATAAAGTACTAGAACTTAAGGATAAAATATTGACTAGATAATATTAAAAGGCTATACAGTTTATAAATAAACCTCACCTTTCTGTCTCACAGGCATGATGAAGATTCAAAGATTAAACCCCTAAACTAAATGAAGCGACTGGCGTCAAGCATTGGGAAGAATGACGGATCACTTTCACTTTCGGTCGAGTCGCTTTGATTTCGCAGTGACCCACAATCACCGGTGATCGCTGACCGGGTCAATCTGACATGCGAGAGTGAAAGCTCGATATAAACAATCCGACAGTCTGATGAAAACTATAAACGATCTCTTCATTCATAACAGGTCAGATGGAGCAGGACCTTTCAAGGAACTTTCAAACAACTCTGCACTTTCACAAACTTTCCGCAGACAAATGAATGAAGCAAATCACAGAATCGCGATGTGCATTACAAAGATTTGGGGAAACAAATCCTTCCGATGTGTTGCAATGGAAAAAGTGTTGGAACTAATAGTCCCTTTTGAAGAGGAAGTAAAGTTGACTCGCAGACTCTCCGAACATCTGTCCCGTTCCCTCCTGACTGAAGTCCTGGATCCGCACACGTCCGTAATCCAAACTTCTTCGGCGCTACACTTCCTCTTTCTTTCTAGTGTCCGAAATTCCCAAACTTTCCTGCAAAATGGCGACCTTGATATGCAAAGGGATCACATGATCTACTGATCTACTGCCTTCCCTCTGCGCTCAGAGGAATGGGCGCTCAGGTTTCTTCACTCAGCCGCCGCGAGACAGTGGAGGACTTTATTACATTTATCTTCACTTTGAGTAATTAAATCTAAAGAAACTAGGTAAGGACCGCAGAACATCAGTCTTGTTCACAGTATGGAGGAAATGTAGACTATATTGTGTGCTGTATCTTTATTCTTATCTTCATTTGTGTCTTTTTAAGCAAAAACTTTATTTTGTATATAACTTAGCTTAGCTTATTTATTTATGATTCTTTTAGTGTTTACAACATTGTGGGAAAAATAATTTACGTGAGATCACATCAATCCTCATCATAATCCATTAGCGTGTTTCTGCAAATGAAAATGGCTGTGATTGAGGTTTGAAGTGTCCTGAATTACCAGCTGGAATGATCAAAATCCTGCTTTACTTACTGATTGCCTGTACTGAGATTGGCCAATGCAGAAATATAATATTAAATATGTCCTTGCAAACTTTATATTGCATGTTTTTCTCATAAATTGCTGAGAGCCTATCCTATAGACCAAAATCATATTTTACTATAGATTTTTTTTATGTAGCCAGTAAAATCAAATCAATTTTTTTTATTGACACACATTAAATAAACAATGTGCGCAAGCTGTGTAATAAGCATTTACATAAAGACATGGTTTTGATATAACAATAATGATTACTCTTACATGCCGATAGAGTGCATATGTCATTTGCAAATAAGCATTTCCTTTCATGACTTATTACACATTAGTAAATTGCATTTATGATTTGAGCCGATGATTAAACTTTAAAAAAATAGACTAACTAAATTTTGTAGTGACTCTGTGCAAAATAATCATTCCTTCATTTTAATAAACTGCCAACTTATCCAGTATATGTTTTAGGCAGCTGGTACTCTTCCAGCTGCAACCCATCACTGGGAAACAACCATATACTCTCATTCACACACATACACTATGGACAATTTAGCCTACAAACTTCACCTATAACGCGTGTCTTTGGATATGTGGGGCAAACCGGAGCACCTACAGGAAACCCACACCAACATAGAGCATGCAAAGTCCACACCGCGTGCACCATACAAAATAATAGTTTCATATTCACTTGTTGTAAACTTTACTTGGTCACATTATATGGTCTCATTTATTCACTATCATGTGGTTAAATATTTTACAGATACAATTAGCATATATTCAAAATATTTTATACAGTCAGAATTATTAGCGCCCCTTTTTCTATTATTTTATAAATGCTTACCCTAACCTAACCCTAACCCCCTAACCCTAACCCAAATGATGTTTAACAGGCCAAGGGAATTTTCACAGTATGTCTGATAATATTTTTTCTTCTGGAAAAAGTCTTATTTGTTTTATGTCGGCTAGAATAAAAGCAGTATTAAATCTTTTAAACACCCTTTTATGGACAAAATTATTATTATAAATTTTTTTTGATAGTTTTCAGAACAAATCATCGCTATTCAATAACTTGCCTAAGTACCCTAACCTGCCTAGTTAACCTAATTAACCTATAGTTAAGCCTTTAAATGTCACTTTAAGCTGTATAGAAGTGTCTTAAAAAATATCTAGTCAAATATTATTTACTGTCATCATGGCAAAGATAAAATACATCAGTTATTAGAAATTAGTTATTAAAACTATTATGTTTAGAAATGTGCTGAATTTTTTTTCTCTTTTTTTTCTCTGTTATAGAAAAAATAACAGGGGGTCTAATAATTCATGGGGGCTAATAATTTTTCAACTGTATATACTTGTATGTATAAACTTGAACTGTATATATAATTTTTTTCCCATAAATGTTATTCACATAAGGCATCACATAGATCAAAAACATATTTTACATAGATACAATTTTTATAGCTTATAAAGTTTTATCTAAAATCGACCCTTATTAAATAAATTATAAGATATGCAAGGATAATAATAAACAATAATAAACATATAAGTATAATAAAATAATAAACATTTATATAATGTTTAATAATATACATTTATATAGACTATAATAATAAACAATATTCATTTGTCTAATAAACATTTACATAACGACATAGCTTGGATATGAATAGTTTTAAAAACATGAGTTTATAATTACAATAACAGGCCGATATATATGAGATTTGCAAATGAGCGTTTCATTTCATCAGTAAATTATGTTTCTATGATTTGAGACATGATTAGACAAAAACTAAAAAGACTAAAAACTAAAATTTATAGTGACTCCATGAAAAACAATATTTTATTAAAATATTATGTTCACATGTTGCATAACTGTACTTGTCTCATTGTATGCTCTCATTTATTCACTATTACTGTATGTGGTTAAATATTTATTCAGTGTTTAATGCAAATTAGTTTAATCATTTAGTTCTGAAAAAAAAAGATTTTGTTTCATAAATGGTGATAAATCCAGTGTCATCCTATCAATGGCACACTGTTACAAGCAAACACAAAGTGTGTCTATTCGCTCCAGCTTTTGTTAGTTGTTTTGATGTTTGAAATGGCTTTTGTCATTTGAATCTTGTGAAGGGTGGATGTCGAGTCACAGGGTGCTGTCACATTGCCACAGTTTGGGTGGGGTGAAGTCTGCCACACACACACACACACACACACACACACACACACACACACACACACACACACACAAACACACACACACACACACACACACACACAGACACACACACACACACATACACATACACACACACATAAAACAGTGGTGTCTTTTTAAAAACGCCCAGTAGAGTTATTTTCTAGAGCATTGCAGACACAAAGAAACTATGGTATGAATGGCCGTACAAGCAGTAAATATTCACAGATTTACAATGTCCCATTGATAAAAAATGTGTACAAATTCAAAGCCGAATGAATACCATGTCTGAGCGGTATTTCCACAATTTTGATAGATACTTCTGCCGCCCACACAGTTTGACAAGCCTGGTCTTGACTGCTTTTATTGTCTGGATATGCTTAGTGAATGCATTCTTACTATACAAATTCTATGCAAAATCTCAACCTGTTTTTCACACAATTCCTTATAAATGACCCAGACTGTTTGACATTAAAGTTGATAATATCACCACTGACTATTGTAGACCCCATTTCACCTCTGTAATATGCATATGTATCTTTATTTTTCAGTTATATACAGAAACTTACTTCTGTGTAGCTTTAAATAAATAAAGCTTCCATCCTTCAGTGGCTATGTATAATTACAGTTGCACACACCCATTGCTTTCTTTGGAGGCCTGTAAGTGAAGAGCCTTGACATGGAATGCGTGTCTGTAACCGGACCTGAGCACTTCTATCCCTTGATATCGAAACAAGGGGGCTTAATAGAGCATACACATCACATGGGCTGGCCAATAATGAAGAGCATTTTAAATGACTGGAAATGAACCAAGGATGTGTATCAGATTCAGATATTAGAATACAAACCACACACATAGTCTGTTTACTGATTTTTAAATTAATATTGTGATGTACACTCAACAAAAAAAGGCAAAATAGTTTTAAAGAAACACTACACTTTTTTTGGGAAATAAATAAAAATCCACATTTTACAACTGAAGTGTTGGGCATCACAGCAAGAAGGTTGCTTGTTTAAGCCCCGGCTGGGTCAGTTGACATTTCTGTGTGGAGTTTGCATATTCTCCCCGTGTTGGTGTGGGTTTCTTCCCGGTGCTCCGGTTTCCCCCACAGTCCAAAGACATGCGAGTATAGGTGAATTGAATAAGCTAAATTGACTGTAGTGTGTGTGAATTCAAGAGTGTATGGGTGTTTCCCAGTGTTGGGTTACAGCTGGCAGGGCATCTGTTGTGTAAAACATGTTGGATAAGTTGGCGATTTGTTCCAGTTCCAGTTTTTAATCCATTCAGCTAATTTCCTTGTGGAAGCACTTTTAGCTTAGCTTTGCATAAATCATTAAATTGGATAGAACGTTAGCATCTTACTCAAAAATGACCAAAGAGTTTGGATAATTTTTTGATTTAAGGCTGGAATATTCACTAGGTACATTGTGTATTAAGACAGATGGAAAAGTTGACATTTTTTAGGCTCATATGACTAACTATACTCGTATTATGGCTTAATAATTAAAGAACTTTGTTGCTGTACCATGGCTGCAGCAGGCACAATGATATTATGCCACACATTAAATAGTCCCCAGAATCAAGCCCAAGTCTTATGCACACTATGAGCGACTCGCAGTGGCGCCATGCTACTTGAGCAACTTCTGACAACATTTGTCTATATGAGCCACTGCAACTGTTGGCGACCAGGTGGGCGTGTCAAGCGATGCTACAAAGTTCAACTTTATGCAAATGAAGAGCTTCAGCAAAGCTCACATGATTCTCTCTCAGCTCGCTCAGAGGCTGGTTGTATTCGTGCTGTATAGACCTACAAAATCCTACGTTTGCAGCATGTCGCCACCCAGAGAGACGAGCAGCTACAAAGTCGCTGCTAGTGTGAATGAGGCATTACTAGCACCACCAGTTATCTGCACTGCAAAACATGCTGTAAAATGTACAGTATTACTGGCAATTTTGTTTGTCAGTAATACTGTAAAATTTAAAAGTGCACTCTACTACAATGTGAAACCCAAAAAGTTAAGGTAAC